TGAGGTTTGGGGGATGAAGGAAAATGGGTGGGAGAGGCAGAAGAGTGGGGAGAGGACAGAGTGAAACCCCCAAACTGAGCGTGGGGGGGTTGGGGAGTGGGGGATGATGGGGGAGGGGTAGGAGAGGGAGGGAAAAATTCGGGGTTGTGACCCCAAAAGTGATCCTGGGGGGGGTGTGGATTGGGGGGACCACAGAAAAGTGGGAGGAACAGGGAGAAGGGTGGAAAGGGGGGATGGTCTGGCAGGTCTGACGGTCCCATGGGGGTCTTTGGGCACAGGGGGGCTGGGAAAGGGGTGGCCCCCCTGAGCTCCCAAATGACTGTGGGGTGCTGGGGCTGCTGGATCCAATCTCAGTCTTGGATTATGACAACAGTTTCAGTTTAGGGGAATTACAGAGGTGGGACTGAACCACTTTTGTCCCCCAGGTTTTAAAGATGGCCAATCACATCTATTGATAGAAATGAATTGTTTAGGGATACAAATGATCAGACAAACGATCTTCATCAGAATTATTTACTGCACAATAGAAACACTAAAACTACCACTAGTACAAGATAAGGTAGGACAGTGCTCTACACTAAAGCAATTGTTGAAGCAATTCTACTCAAGCTGGCACCAAAGCAAGAATTATGAATTAGAGAGGGATGGAACTCCCCCAGACCAACGCTCACGGGGAGATCTCTGCTCTCAACCTCCAGCAGTGACCTTGGAGCCAAGGCAGGAATCTCCACACACCCCCCAAGAAGGGTTCTGTTGGCAGAACCTGACATCCCAAGAAAGGGATGGACTGACAGTCACTGGACTCCAGGGGTTGCCTCACCATCAGGGGGGTCATTTGGGGTGGGAGCAGCAGCCGAAGCTCTTCCCGCAGTCGGGGCACTCAAGGGCTTCCCTTACCAGTGGGTCCGTTGGTGTCTGGTCAAGGCACCACTGTGGGTGTAGCTCTTCCCACACTCCCCACACTTGTAGGGCCTCTCCCCAGTGTGGATGCGCTGGTGGACAATGAGAGTGGAGTTCTGGTTGAAGCCCTTCCCACAGTCGGTGCAGCGGAAGGGCCTCTCCTCTGTGTGTGTCCGCTCATGGCTGAGGAGAGTTGAGCTGGTCTGGAACCACTTCCCACATCCCCCACACAAGTAGGGCCGTTCCCCAGTGTGGATGAGCCGGTGCCTGACGAGGTGGCAGTTCTGGCTGAAGCTCTTCCCGCAGTCAGTGCAGCGGAAGGGCCGTTCCCCCGTGTGCGTCTGCTTATGCCTGTGGAGACACGAGTTCATCCGAAACGTCTTCCCACATTCCAAGCACTTGTAGGGCTGTTCGCTGGTGTGGGTGTGCTGGTGGGTACGGAGGGTGCTCTTCCACCTAAAGCTCTTCCCACACTCCCCACACTTGTAGGGCCTCTCC